TTTTTTTTTTTTTTTTTAACCCCCAGATAAATTAAAAGCATATTTCTCATGTTTCAGGGGTTAGAGTAGAGAGGGAAGATGGATTAAAGTAAATTATTTGCCAAGTAGGTTTTTATCTGACACTTTTTTTTTTTTTTTTTCTTCGAGACAGGGTTTCTCTGTGGTTTTGGTGCCTGTCCTGGAACTAGCTCTTGTAGACCAGGCTGGTCTCGAATTTACAGAGATCCGCCTGCCTCTGCCTCCCAAGTGCTGGGATTAAAGGCGTGCGTCACCACAGCCTGGCTATCTGACACTCTTTAAGAGCATAGTGAGCACCTACTTAAGGAGTAAGATGGGAGAGGAAGAGATATGAATTCTACAAAGTTTCATGCCATGAAACTGCACAGGAACTATTCAGTAGATTTCTTAACTGGAAATATCAGAAGATTATAGCATAGGCTTTTATCATTACTGATTTTGAAAGAGGAGTTTTAAATCATTGGAACCTTGCTGTAATCCCATACAGTCAGAGAAGCTCTGGTTTGTAAGGAACTGTCAAGGTTATGAGCACATGGAAGTCTGTTGTTTATTTTACTTGGTAGAAATTTATAAAAACACAATAAGTTATAGCTCCTTAAATATTTTTAATGCTATCATTTTGAAAGAAAATTTTTACCAATTTTGGATATGCAAATCTAAACATTTACTGCATTTTGTAGTTCCATGTTTATATTGGGAAGAAACTGATACACATTTTTTATTAGTTTTGTCAAATCAACTGTGTGATGAATTTCACAGCTGTTAAACCTGATTATGCATTGCCAACAAAGAAGTAATGCATTGCTCTATTAAAAAGGAGTGTGAGAGAAGCAAACGAAGGGAAGTGTGAGTGGAGGTGTGTGCGGTGCTTGGCTCACTGCTTGCCTCCACGCCTTAGGAACAGCATTGTGGTGTAAATGGAAAAGGCCATGTGAAACAATTTACCGGGGTTTTCAGTTTCTTTCAGTTTGCTGGGTTTTAGTTCAGACAGTAATGTAGAAGAGGGTGGAAAAAAGTGGTGTTGAGCATGAACTATTGCTAATAAAACATGCCATTTTGAATAAAATATACTTTCATTATACTTGTCTAGATATGACCTCTTTTTGTTGTTGCGTACATTTCAGATTTCCTTTTATAAATGTTAACACTTAGAAAAAATAAGATCAACATAGCAGGTGTCAGCTTAATCATCAGTCATAACTTTATGTCCACATTTTCTGGTAGATGGATTTTGACTATTAATTTGGTTTTGTATGTTTTCTCTATGTGATATTTGTGCATTATTAGATGACTAGACTGGCCAAGGCAGACCTGTTACACTTGCCTGAGTCAGGCATTGTTTGCCATGCCACTAAACCTGCCGCCAAGTGAAATCTTCATTGGGGAAATGAGATCGGAGTCTGAACCGCTGAAGATGGACGCCCTGTCTCTGTTTTTATTGTTTTACTTTAATTTCATTTCTTTTTATTTTGTCCCTTTTTTTGTTTTGTTTTGTTTTTGTTTTTGTTTTGTTAAATCTCTCTCACTTTTAGCTTGTGAGCTGGTTTTCCAGTTCTTTGTAAATGGTATTCCATTAAGAATTCATAATGTGTTGCAAATTTATGGGGGAATGATTAACAGAACTCAACCTTGAGACGAACTAAATTGCCATGCAGTAAGTTAGAGTGCAGTGCTGGGAAGATGCTCAGGGCCTTTTAATTGGTGTTTGTGGGTTGAGGTACATTTTGATTTTCAAACATTAAAACGCTTACTGGAATCGAAGGAACATTTTCTGATGGGCTCAGTGCTTATTATTTTCCCCAAGTCTACATCTCTCATAAACCCAACTGATGGCTTCTAATTTTTATCCTTCCCCTAGAACTATAGGCATATAAAACCAGCAAGGAAAATTAAGTACATTTCTTTTAACAATCTGAAGGTAGGGGGAGGTCTACCTTTTTATTAGCTTGGTCTTAAAGAAGCCTTTTGTTGCCTCTGTGGGGAATGAATATTAGAGAAAACTATTGGTTATTTATTTGCATGCATTTTTTTTTGTTTGCTTGAATTTTTTTTTTTTTTTGTTGAGAAATTTTTAGAGGTTACTAGCTTTTTACATGGATTCTGAAGTCAGGACTTACAGTAGCGTGAGAGATGTTTCCCTCAGTTTTCTTTAAAGTATAGTTTGGGGAAAATGCTAAATGCTATGTGTTTTATACTTCTATATACTCTGGTAGAATGTTAGAGGATAAATTTTATTTTGGAAATAAAGCAATGGAACTTTTCTTAAAATATCTTTAATAGAATAAGACAGAAATAATATTCAGCTTATAGTTATTGATTTTTAACAGTTTGTTGTCATGAACAGCAAGGAGAATCTGATAGCCTGCTGATACTTAAGATAGAACTGAGGCCTCACAGTACTAGGTAATGAGCTTGGCTCATGATTGTGTAGCCTCTGTACTGTATGAATAGCTGGATTTGGTTACTGAGAAATAATATTAAACCTAGAACTCTTTGAGGTGCGTGAATTAGGGTAATGAAGCATAGCGTGCCCACCTCAGGACAGCAGTTACTCATCAGATGTGTTCAGGTTTTAAACCTTAAAAAGTACTCTATATTTCTAATAGATAAAATGAACGTGATAATTATTATAAATAGTATAGTATATGTGGCATATATAGATTTATAGTAATAGTGGTAATTGATAGTTCATTGTTATTTGATATCTTCAGTAAGGCCTACCTTGTTATCATTCTGCATGTTATGAAATTTATTCTCCAGAAGTTAAAGTAATAGCATTGTTTTTGAAATTAGTTAAATTAAATTTAGATGCTGTAAAATTAGAAAGTATGCATTTGCCAAAACCCCTAAACTAATTCTAATTTTCTTTCTATAGATAAGCTATAGCCATTATCAAAAGTTTTAAATTCCAACTTGAATTCCATCCATCCTTAGAGATCTTTCCAGAAAAAGTTGTTTAGAGATTTCTCTCTTACATCTGGTTGTATTAAATAGGATTTTACCACTGAAAGCAGGCATAATACTTTTGAAAACTTGCCATATATATTTCAGTCTTTGTGATTTTTTTAAAGTACAGTTTTAAGATATTCTTAATTGATAATAGAAATGGTTATTTATATATGCAATCAAGTTTGAGAAATTTTTTTTTTTTGCTAAGCAGTTAGGGGAAATGTGAAAGTTTTAGTTTGTAAGGTTTTTTTTTTTTAATTCAGAAACTAAATATGGTAGGACATGAACTTCAAAGTAGATTTTCCATTTTTTAAGTTACAGGCATTTTTCTTCACTTCTAAAGTGATTTTAGTTTATTCTGTTAGAAAGTTACACACTTTATAAGAAAAGCATTTTAAAGTACTAGTTACTATTATTCAGATAAGTATACATAAGTTGCATCTGAAAGTTAGAATTTTTTTTTATCAGTTGCCTAAGGATCTTTGGGATTGGATTCTTTCTGGCATTACTGATGTTGGTGAGGTGCCTTTTTGATGAATGGGTGTGGACCATTGAAGCTGATTGCATGTTGTAGTTTCCTGTTTCTTTTGTTTATCTGAATTGAGTGGAGTCGTGGAGAATTGTTAGAATTGTCTGCTCACAGTGGGTAGCTTCAGTACAGGGTAGAGACACTCATTATGGAGCAAATTTCAATTCGCACATATTTGTTTTTTTTCTTTTTCTTTTTTTTTTTGACTAATTTGGTTATTTGCCATTTCTGGGGATTAAACTTTAAAAAATGTTCTTCTTTTCTGTATCTGATGTTCTGTGTGCTATTAGTGACGCAGCCAACACGAACGGTTGTCATGTGTAACACAACTTTCGATCACCGCGAAAACAGCGTCCTGGGAAAGCGTCCATGCTTGATATCGTTTGGTTCATGAACATTAAGTTTCCAGTACAGGTGACCCATAGCTCAAAGTGTTAAATAATTGTCTACATTATTCAGTTTTTAAAAATAATATTCCATTAATGAGATTGTTAGTCTTTGAAGTTTTGCTCACTTTTATTTTTCCTAGTAGAGCAGGATAAAAGGAAAGACTTATGTTCTTATTTGTTTCTTTGTACGGATCTGCTAGATAGATTCATTTATTATTATTATTTTTTAAGTGCAAGGGTAATTGTAAAATCATAGTGTAAAGTTGGTGTGGTGTTTCTGCTCGCCATAATATTTGGAACTTGCCTCTGCAGGTAAAATCCCAGAGGAAGCCAAAGCCCTTTCTTTACTGGCTCCTGCTCCAACCATGACAAGCCTGGTGCCTGGTGCAGGATTGCTTCCCATCCCGACCTCCAGCCCTCTGACGGCAGTGAGTAGTGTAAGTCCTCTCGGTGGGTGAGGGCTGACTATGAAAACTGGTGAGGAAGGAGGGGAAGTTGTTTTCACCTTGTGTTAGTGACACCGTCCAAAGTCCATACATAAGAACTTACCCACATCATCTTACTTGAGCTTGGTTTTTTTTTTTTTTTTGGTTTTTCGAGACAGGGTTTCTCTGTGGCTTTGGAGCCTGTCCTGGAACTAGCTCTGTAGACCAGGCTGGCCTCGAACTCAGAGATCCGCCTGCCTCTGCCTCCCGAGTGCTGGGATTAAAGGCATGCGCCACCATGGCCCAGCACTTGAGCTTGTTTTGGGGATTACTCTGAAATAATTGGGACTTGTTTAAATTTGAGGATTCAAGAAGGTTGTTAGAAAAATCATTTCCAGAACTTGGTGCTTTAGACAACACAGACTTAGTAGATCACTCCCCAGTTCAAGAGGACCAGGACTAAGAAATTTAAACAGGAACTTAGTGTTAGTCATGGGAGTGCCTGATGACTGAGAAGATGAAACAAGGTTTGACAAACACCTGAGATTTTTCTGTGTAGAATTAAACATAATTAATATCTTGTGATTTCTTAGTAAAAGAATAACTTAATTATTACTGGGCTTTTAGTTGTTGCGTGAACTATCCAGTCATACTCCTTTTAAAGGAGGGTCATTCGACAGGTAAGGACTGTGACTAGTGTTTCCTAGGGAGCGCACAAACTTTGTGACTGTGATGGTCAGTTTGTCCTGATTAAAGAAACGATTTCTGAAACTTTGAATCTTGTCCAGCATTCTTCTCTGGAGACCTGCACTATGATCCATGGAGCGACATGATTTTTATCCTCCCCCAAAATGGTTTTCTCCTTATGTAGCCCTGGCTGTCCTGGAGCATTCTCTGTAGTACAGGCTGACTTTGAACTCAAAGATATCTGTCTGTTTCTGCTTCCCAAGTGCTGGGATTAAAGGCATGTACCACCACTGCCAGCTTTTGCAAATTTTTTTTCCTCGAAATGATTTTTAATTGTACTTCTGTGTTTGAGGAACCCATGCTGGTCAATTTGGCTGCAGCATAGTGAGGAGAGAGAACCAGGTGTAGGGGTGGATAGGATACTGACGTTGTAGGGCTTTTTAGATCATAGGGAGGCATTTGCATTTTATTTTTAACTTGATTAGACTCTAGCATGTTTTTCAAAGAATAAGACTGGCCACTATGACAAGAGTAAATGACATTGATTTTTCATCTTTAGGAACTGCTTTTATTTAATAGTTGTTAAATCTTGGTCATTTACAATATATTTGCACATATTGTTAATCAGTTTTATGGAGTAGCACAAGGAGAAATGAAAGTGGTTGTATTTTTTCCTTGAAAAAAATCTTTTGCCAAATGCGGAGAATGTTTTCAAGTCCTGAGATCTTCTATCTCTTCTAGTTTAAATATATCTTAAAATAAACATGTTTCCTAATATATGTTCTGAAAACTGATTTTATGAATGTTCTAGAAAAATTATCCCATGGAGCCTAGAAAGATGACTTGACAGTTGAGAGCACTCACTGCTCTTGCAGGACCTGGGTTTGGTTCTGAGTACCTTTGTTGTGAGGTGCCTTACAGTCTTCTGGAATTCCAGTTCTAGGGGATCCAGTACCTTCTTTTGGCACCTTTGTAGTGCACATAAACTCATAAATGTACACATAAACATAAATGTTTAAAATTTCATAAAAGATGATACAATGTTTTTTGTTTTTTTTTTCTGTTGTTACACCTGTGTGCCACCTTGCTTGAGTTAAGTTTTTCTTAATAAAATTGGATTTAGTAGTACTGATCTCTTAGTGTTGATAACAGGGATTATTTTTAATTTATTCACTTAGTAATCATGGACACATACTCTAGAGAATAACTTCAGTCACATGGCGCGCATATTTCCAAGCACCTCCTTGCCCTGTTTCAGTACTCATGCTGCAGACGAGTGTGATTGTAATTTCTTTTAAGTTTTTTTGATTTGAAGTTTTGTTCTTTTTCTTTCAGGATGTGATTTTGCTCTTTAAATAGTTTCCTACACACAGTATAGGAGAAAAAAAAAAGCTCAGTCCTTAATGATGAAAATGTAGAAAAGCTTCAGTTATTTTGCTGACCGTGTATGCATTCTGTGTTAACATGTATTGACTGAGGGACCATCAGACAGAAAGGCACTGTACTGAAGGCTTGCTGGACAGGGGTATTGTGACTCTAGGCTCTTAGAAACTTAACCTTACCTCTTTCCTACAGTGTACAATAATACTGTTTATTTTATGGAAATCACAGAATGCAGCTACCTTCAAGGTTAAAAATTAGTGTTCATTTTTAGTGTCAGTTTAAAGGTAGTTAATATGATTTCATGCTTAATCATTGAGATACGTGTAGCTTAAAGCAAGGGGTCCTTTTATACCTCCCATTCATGATGCTTTGATCTCCTGGTAGCAAGATGAAAGAACAATACTTGGAACACTATTGAAAACTGTGCCTTATGGTTTACTTTTGTTTTTTTATAGCTTGGTGTTTCACTTAGTAGTTTGGGAGCCATACCAGCAGCAGCACTGGACCCCAATATTACAACACTTGGAGAGATCCCACAGCCACCACTTATGGGAAATGTGGATCCTTCCAAAATTGATGAAATTAGGAGAACAGTCTATGTTGGAAATTTGAATTCACAGGTAACTAGGAAGAAACTGAGTGGCACTATCTGCTTATTCATTCTTCTTACAAATTCTGTTGATAAAGTATTATTTACTTATTTTTAAATTTTATTTTTATTAGCATATTTTATATAATAGGTTTCATTATGGTTTTTATGCATGCATATATTTTGATGGTATTCATTTTTTTCCACTATTCTCTTGTGACTACCTCACTCCATTGGTCCCCTTTCTCCTCCCAGCTAGTCCCCCTTCTACTCTCATGCGTATCTTGTGACCCAGGAAGTGTAATCAGGATCTTAAAGGAGCATAGGTAAGGGGCCGTTGACAGGAGCCTGGGAACCTTGCCAGTGGCCCCGTCACTAAAGAAAAAGTACTTCCCTCTCCCTACAAGCATTAGCTGCTTTATTTACCTGATTTTAAAAAGAAAAAAAGATTATACTGTATTAAAGTGTCACTCTGCTTCCTCAGACAACGACAGCTGATCAACTACTTGAATTTTTTAAACAAGTTGGAGAAGTGAAGTTTGTTCGGATGGCAGGTGATGAGACTCAGCCAACTCGGTTTGCTTTTGTGGAATTTGCAGACCAAAATTCTGTACCAAGGGCCCTTGCTTTTAATGGAGTTATGTTTGGAGACAGGCCACTGAAGTAAGAAATCTTCAACAAAGAAATTTTAATGGCTTTGAAAAAGTTTTAACATGTTTGATTTAATTAAGGCTTTAAAAAGAATAGTTATTGGCAATTTGTGGATAGGAAGAAACTATTAAATATAAATGAAATGCATGACACCATAGCATGTTATATTTGAAGACATCTCTTTCTTCTGTGTTTAATATCTAGTTAGCCATTAACTCTTTGTATATAATACATAATGGCTTCAGGTATTTTTCTGTATAGTTCTGTAAGTCATGTTTGTTTGTGAAGATTGCAGATTAAGGGCAATTTGTAGTCGAACTACAGAACTTGTAATAAGCATTTTGGTGAATTCCAAATCCTATGAAGAAAGTAGTGTTAAGTATTTAGAAGTGTTTTAAATCAGACATTGTGACTTAATCTGCTCATGTCCATCCCTGTTGGTAAAAATTATATATCACTTTTCAGATACTAAAGACCAGAAATTGTGTATTTCATAGATGATTAAAGTAAATGTGAGTTTGAGTTTTATAGGTTATCTCTTAATTAATAGTTTGATGGGATTTTACTCTTAAAAGATAAGTCACTGTTATATGCTCAGTCTTCTTGGTGGAGAATGGGTAAAGAGACAAAGCAGGTGTGTCTGTATGTGTCACAAGAGCCACCTTACCTACTAGGGGAGGTTTACCTTTCAACTCTGAAGCTGTGCCTGACTCAGATATGGGACAGTATTGAATTAAATGGTCATGTAATTATCTTCCCTTTAATTCTGTTGGGGTATGCAGGTTATTAGCAGAATCTAAGAATAGAAGTGTTCCATGACTGGTAGTGGTGGTACACACCTTTAATCACAGCACTCGGGAGATTGAGGCCAGCCTGGTCTACAGAGTGAGTTCTAGGATAGCTAGTTCTGTGCAGTAAACGATGACTCCATAAAACCCAGCAGGGTTGGGGGAGAAGTGGTCCATTTTAATCCTGGTATCAGCATTGTTATTTTTCTAAGGTATATGCACAAGCACTTGTAAATCAATTGTCTATTCAATTGTTGAAGAAGTTAGGTAGACTTCAGTTTTTCTTTTTTCTTTGCTTAGCAAGAACTGATGGTAGGTTTAGATGAGTGATTAATCATGGTTTTCTGAGATTGCTGTTGGCTATTCTGTATTTAGCTATTTTATTTCCTTATGTGCTGTTGCAATACCCTCAGGTTCATAAATGTGTATATCTACTAACAATTGTTTCATGTTTTATAAACTATGGTGTGTTTGTGATATACTAATATTTTTAATTTAGAATAAATCACTCCAACAATGCAATAGTAAAACCTCCTGAGATGACACCTCAGGCTGCAGCTAAGGAGTTAGAAGAAGTAATGAAGCGAGTACGGGAAGCTCAGTCATTTATCTCAGCAGCTATTGAACCAGGTAAGGCCACAGTGCTGTTGTATAGTCAGAGAGAGTCTTAGGACTGGGAGGAATTTTAGGATTACACTGCTCAGTTCCTTCATTGTACAGATAAGAAGACTGAAACTCAAGAAATAGTAAGTGGATTATTCAGAATAAGTCAGCACAAACCGACATTTCCCTAATACTGAGCTGACACATTTTAGCTTAGTGAGTTTTCTATGGCAACAAGTCAGTGTTGAGGTTGGTTTGCTAGAAACAGTATGAGTGTTATTATAAGGCCAAAAAGGAAAGAAAAAATGTGTAAAATGTTAAAAATAGGCAGCTTGACTTTCCCTCAAAGTTTTAATTTTAAGACGAGAAAGGGCATATGATTTCAAAAAACACACTCAGTCTTACAAGATTAAAGGAAAACTGACTCATTTTGTGTTGCTAAGTGCTGTAAAATCCACTCTAAAAATGTCTATGTGATTTAGCTTTAATTAAATTTCCTAAATTAACACTTGGAATTTAGCTTCAATTCTAACAAAATAAGTGCAGGAAGGTCTTAGCCTCAGTGTCCTAGGAATTGCAGACATGTTTTAATCATACGTTATGGCAGCAACAAAATACTACGAACAGCTGTTTATAATCATCTGGTTTATATGTACTGCTGCAGGGTGGCTGCACTCAACGAGTTTATGCAATGACTTTCTTGGATGTTTCTGAAGGATAATTGCACAGGAGGAGGATGTACAGAGAGTAGGCCCTTTGCACTATATGTGGTATATTCCACTTGTGCCTAATTATTAACTGGGATCTTTAATTGTTCTGAGCTTACGCTGCAAAGTGGTTTTTTCCTCCCAGAGTCTGGAAAGAGCAATGAAAGGAAAGGCGGTCGATCTCGTTCCCACACTCGCTCAAAGTCCAGGTCTAGCTCAAAATCCCATTCTAGAAGGAAGAGATCACAGTCAAAGCACAGGTGAGACTCTCTACTATCAATGCTTAATGTTTTGTTGGTTTTGTGTTTCAAATAGTTAAGATGTCAAAGTATTAGAATTCAGAAATTTTCACTAGTGTTGGCTTACCTGGTAGTATGCTTACTGTTAGCTAATGCTCTACCAGTAGTGGTCTAGTTGTGGGTACACCAGTTACTGCCCTGCCCATTTCTTGCTTTATGTTCAAGGGAAAGAAAGTTTATCAAATTGGTTCTTTTCTCTTTGTTTGTTTGTTTAGTTTTTGAATTTTCGAGATAGGGTTTCTCTGTAGCCCTGGCTGTCCTGGAATTTGTTCTGTGGACCAGGATTGTCTTGATGGCTTCCACCTCCCAAGTGCTGGGATTAAAGGCATGTACCACTGCTGCCCAGCTCAAATTGTTTCTTAATTTTTCATATATATTTTTTCAAAGATTTATTTATTATGTATACAACATTCTGCCTCCATGTATGCCTGCAGGCCAGAAGAGAGCACCGGATCTCATTACAGATGGTTGTGAGCCACCATGTGGTTGCTGGGAATTGAACTCAGGACCTCTGGAAGAGCAGCCAGTGCTCTTTAACCTCTGAGCCATCTCTCCAGCCCCCATATTTTAAATCTTTAATTTTAGAAGTGTTTTTCGTATTTGTGTATGTTTTGTACTTGATTTTTTTGTAAGCTAGCCTTTCACACATACTTAGCAGGAGGTGTTTTCCTTGTACATTCTGAGAAAAGCTAATGCTGGAGCAGTGCTCAGGGTCTCCAGGCAGAAATGACGCTGGAGAGGTAGCAGAGAGCTCTACATCTGCATCCTCAGGCAGCAGGAAGAGAGAACGGCACTGTACCTGGCTTGAGCTTCTGAAACCTCAACCCACCCCACCCCTAGTGGCATACTTCCTCCAGTACCTCCTAATAGTACCACTCCCTATTGGCCACCACAATGCCTGACATGTAGTGAGTCTTCATTGTTGCTGAGTCACTCATGTCGTGAGAGAATGACGTAGATGTGTGCATGCATGTGCAAAGTAGGGGAATTAAAGGAGGAGGACTTGAGAAGCTGCACACACCTTCCATCTTGTTTCTATTTCTGTGGTGATGAAGGAGATTCAAAGATGAGATGGGAAAATAGAGTGTTGTTCTTTGACTTTGGTAAACTGTATTTCTGGCTCTTTTAATGGTATGGTACATACATAGTTTACAAAATCTCCTTTGAGGACTTTCCTGTCTCTAAGCTCTTACTGGGGTAAGCTCAAAATCAAATGCCTTATATTTAAGCCACTGTGGTCTACATAGTGAGTAAATACCAGATCTGCCAAACCTACATTATCTCAAAAATACCCAGAAAATAAGTGCAGTAGGGACCAGAGTCAAAGCAGGAAAGTAACACAGATACTATAGTATAAGACCAGGATGTATGATGGATGGATTCCCACATGTTGACAGGATAAAGAAGATAGAGGAGATAGGAAGCTGCTGAAGAGTAATAAAGACTGATGTCTTAGTAAAGGTGTCTGTTGTTGTGAAGAGACACTGCCCACGGCAACTCTTATGAAGGAAATATTTAACTGGGGTGACTCATTTAGAGCTCAGTGGTTTAGTCCATTATCATCATTGTAGGACATGGCTCCGTACAGGCAGATGTGGTGCTTGAGAAGTAGCTGAGAGTCTTACATCTTGCAGGCAACAGGAAGTGGACTGAGACACTGGACAGTATCCTGAGCATAGAAACCCTCAAAGTGCACCCCCACAGTGACACTCTTCCTCCAACAAGGCTGTACAAAGCCACATCTCCTAATAGTGCTAATCCTTATGAAATTAGGCCAGAGGCATTCAAACCACCACAGCTAGTTTCCTAAGTCTTGTTTTGAATGGTTATAAAGGAGAGCCAAGCTCTAAGGTTGAGAAAAATTAAAACTTGTTCATTAACATCAGTTTCTTTGATAATTCATGAAACTTTACATGCTTTTAAAAATTAGGGCAGTAACTGAGGTCTTTGAATTTGCATACTATTTTCTCCCTCTAGGATAATGGTTCTTAACCTGTCTTCTTGGGTCACATATCAAATAGCCACATTACAATTCGTAACAGTAGCAGAATTACAGTTATGAAGTAGCAGTGAAATAATTTTATGGTTGGGGGGTCACCACAACATGTGGAACTGTATTAAAGGATCATAATATTAGAATGGTTGAGAATCACTATTCTGTTTATTATGTATAAATTGAAATTTGGCAGTTCTTGATATTCATGACTGAACTTTCATATAGTTGCATCTGAGGCTAATATTAGAAATAAGTGGCTCTTCATACACACACACGTACGTGACCAACATATTTTACACATGCATGTTGAAATAGGCTAAAGACAAAAGAGAATGAGTTACCTCTGAAATAGAGGCATGGGATCATTCATTAAATGCATAAGACTTGGGAGTTTTGACCTGAAAGAATCTTCCTACACTTTCCCCTACTCTTCACCTGACTTAGCAGGATAGTGTAGATTATAATGTCAGCTGTTTCTAGAACTTTGCTTCCCCAGGCAGAAAGCTATTCCCATGAAAGAGCTTCAAAAGTTGCTCTCCTAAAAGTGCAGGGCCATTTATCTACAAACAGCAATGTAGAGATTGCTAAAGCATATAACTTGTTCCCCTCAGGACTCAAAAGCAGTTTGCAAGGAAGCCAGGATTAAAGACAATTAGTGATATGAAAACTCAGGCAGAGGAAGCAATCTCTAGATTTGAGGCTTGTAATGCTGTGATGAAAGGGAAAGCTATCCCTGAAAATACTTCCTGTTTTGTGTCCTACACAATAATATAGCTGGTAAATTTTCCAATAAATTAATTTCTGGTGTTATAACTAAAACATTATAGAAGGCTCATTTAAAAAACTAAACTTTTTGCAGTTGAAATTCTAAGTTTTGATCTCCTTACAATTTGTTTTTCCTTAGGAGTAGATCTCATAACAGGTCACGTTCAAGACAGAAAGATAGACGTAGATCCAAGAGTCCACATAAAAAGCGCTCGAAGTCTAGGGAGAGGCGGAAGTCAAGGAGTCGTTCACGTTCACGGTGAGTTCCAGAGATATAAAGAAAATTTAAAATTTATCAGTTCTCAGTCATTTGAAATTGTGGTTTAGGTTTATCATGAGAGAAATAAGGCTTTCTTGTTTCTTTAGTGTCTAGGATTAATATTGATTGCCTCTGATGCAAAGATGATCAGTGTGATTCAGATCAGCTTGGTAATTGTCTACTCTGTAAGCTCAGGTCCACATTCGAGTTACACAGAAATTTCTAATGTCTGTAGCCATTGCAGATGATATTGTATTGGTAAAGGTCTCTCTTTTTGAGAAAAAATTCTTTGAGCTAAGAATTTGTTTGTTTGTTTTTCAAGGGACAAGAGAAAAGATACCCGAGAAAAGGTGAAGGAAAAAGACAGAGTGAAGGAGAGAGAGAAGGAAAAGGAGAAAGAAAAAGAGAGAGAAAGGGAAAAGGATCGTGAAAAAGACAAGGAAAGGGGTAAAAACAAAGATAAAGACCGAGAGAAGGAAAAGGACCAGGAAAAGGAGCGGGACAAGGACAAGGAACAAGACAGAGACAAGGAGCGAGAAAAAGACAAATCCAAAGAGGCGGATGAGAAACGGAAGAAGGAGAAGAAGTCCAGAACTCCACCCAGAAGTTACAATGCATCAAGAAGATCTCGTAGTACCAGCAGGTTTGTGTGTGCATAGGCCCGCATGCCTGTGGTTGTTTGTGTGTGGAGGTTATAGGGCAACCTGTGGTCTGTGTGTCCTCCCCAGTACTGGCATTACAGATGCGTGTTACCATGCCCTGTTATGGTGACTCGAGTGCTGTGCTTTTCCATGTGGGCTCTGGAGGTAGAACTCAGGTCCTCATGTTTGCACTGCTGCTCTTTACCGACTGAGCTATCACTGCACCCTGCTTCGACTCTTTCCATGAGGTTGCTGGTGATAAGTGAATACATTTTTAATCAAGGGGGAAAGATTATTCTATGCAAGTATAAAAGTAGTAACATTTACCCTTAATTGAACAACAGAGGGGTCACTGCATCATTGAACCTCCTGGGTGAGATATTTGGACCGACTTAGCTGTCTTTCATAATGCAATATTTAAATAATATTACTTATTATTTTTCCTAGAGGATGACATGTGATGGGGAAGATGTTTTTCTATTTAAAATTCTGGGTTTTTTTTTTATAAGATTTATTTATTTATTATATATACAGTGTTCTATCTGTATGTATGCTTGCTGGCCAGAAGAGGGCACCAGATCTCATTGCAGATGGCTGTGAGCCACCATGTGGTTGATGGGAATTGAACTCAGGACCTCTGATCCATCTCTCCAGCCCCTCTATTTAAAATTCTTATGTGTAATAGTTGACCTTCGAGGCTTTGGTGTTTCTCTAGAATGGTGTGGTAAATCTTAGCATGTCCTAATGATATCTAAAGTTCTAGTGTGAGTCCTTTCTGTCATCTTGAGTTAACTTTTACTTCTATTATGCTTTGTATATGACATTTAAGTTTTGTTTCTTGATGTTTTAAGGATTAGATTTTAGCATTTTTGTTTCCACTTATTAATAGATACATTGCCACCAGGTGGCAGCAGGTTGCTATAGTAACAGCTACAAAATGAGACTATTTCTCTAGGTTCTTTAACCCTCTTCTTACCCCTTATTTCAGATTGTTCTATGATAAGTTAAGCTTAGTCTTTTTTTTTTTTAAGCTTAGTCTTTTAAAAATATTTAAAAATAACAGTTTCACCTAATTTTAAAGTTGGCTTTTTATTGCAAACAAGTTGATAAAGGAATATATTTCCTTTAAAAAAAAAAAGAGTTTCTTAATGGTGTATTTTTTTTTTGCTAGCCTATTAAAAGGTAATAAAAGCTAGTTGCAGTGTTTATTGGGAGTTGTTATCGAGGACAGTTCTAGTTCTTGGCTCACTTTGATGTCTCACCTTGTTTAGTCTTCCAGCAAGCTGGTGAGACTGTTACAACCCTGGTAAAGACAGGCCTTTCCCTTGCCCCTGCTCTGCTGTCAGAAGTGGAATGCCTTGTTTTCTTCATTTAAGAAAGTGTGAAGTTGCCAGGCAGTGGTGGTGCATGCCTTTAATACCAGCGCTTGGGTGGCAGAGGCAGGTGGATCTCTGTGAGTTCAAGGCTAGCCTGTTCTACAGAGTGAGCTCTAGGACTGTTTCACAGAGAAACACTGTCTCTGAAAAAAAAGAAAGAAAGAAAAAGAAAGTGTCAAGTATTTGTGCCCACTTTTGAAAAACTGCCACAGACTATGAAGTTGAAATTAATAATACCTGTCAGGATGGGTTTCTTGAAACAGAAACAGTGAAGCAGACTTACAGCCTTTGCCTTAGGGATCAGCTTAGACTGTGACTGCACTTTGCTTGCAAGTGATTTTGTTGATCATGCTCTGGATACCTTTATGTCAATGTATGATCCAGATATTCTGTTTACAGCATCAAATGATTGGAATTAATAACATAACTGTATGTTTGTTAATGTGTAGCTCTGGCTTTCCTGGAACTCAATGTGTAGACTTAGCTGGCCTCAAACTCAGAGAGATCACCTTCCTCTGCATCCCAAGTGCTGGGATTAAAGGCATGCTTCACCACACCTGGCTCCTTTGTTTTGTCTTTAAGGGAGTTGAAAGATTCATATTTAGCCCTAAATGCACTCTTTAGGCAGGCCCTGGCACTTAGAGACCAAAAGACAGGAAAGCTGTCAGGAATTGATTAGTAAATGGCTACTCGCATGTGCACATGCACGCACACATAGTGGTTGCTCTAAGAGCTCTGGTAAACAGCAATAATCTGTGTTCAGCAGCAGCTGCAGTTTCTTAACTTTTAACAGGTTCCTTCTTTTCTAATGTTCTGATTTGTTTATTGAGTGGGAAACAATTCTAACTGATCAAAAAAATCTACTTCATGCTTTTATATTCAACATTGCCTCCTATTCTGTATTTTCAAAGAAAAATTGGTGGCCTAAAAAACTGTTTAATGGTGGCCGGGCGGTGGTGGCGCACGCCTTTAATCCCAGCACTCAGGAGGCAGAGGTAGACGGATCTCTGTGAGTTGGAGGCCAGCCTGGTCTACAAGAGATAGTTCCAGAACAGACTCTAAAGCTACAGAGAAAAGCTGTCTTTAAAAACCAAAATAAATAAAGTTTAATTCAGCCAGGCATGGTGGCACATATGTTTAATCCCAGCACTTGGGAGGCAGAGGCAGGTGCTTTGTGAATTCCAGGTCAGTCAGGGCTACACAGAGAAACCCTTCTCAAAAACATAAACAAATACCAATGCTTGGAAATTGCTTTGAAGAAAGGATAGGGAAGGCAGAAAGAGTGGGTTATTGCTTTTTACCATACGTGAGTAGATTTGGGTTTGATTTCTACAACATTCTGTTCGCGCTCCCCAAAAGAAAAGAAAATCTGTCTATTGAGCACCTGCTATGTGCCAGGCTCTGTTCCTAATACTTTACAGGTGCTTATCCGCTAGCCCTCCAATAACCCTGTAAGTCAAAGTCTGTGTATTTTGTTTGTTTCCGTTAGGAAAAGTAGACCCAGTTTAAACAGTATTTGTGTTGTTACAGATCTTTGCTTTTTTTTAGCCCTTTAAAATGGCAATGATGTGCAACTAATAATCCATGTGCTTAAATTTTATGAAAGAAAACTAAAAGCAATAGTAAGGAAAACTTGAATTTCAGAGGATTGCTGTTTTGGTTGTGTGGTCAGTGGTTATCAGAGCTGCTGCTCCTTTGTGTGTGTGTGGGATTGTGCACTTGTGTGTATGTGTTGCCATTAGAGGTCTCTGTCGATGTCTCCGTCTGTCGCTCTCCAGCTTATTTTCTGAGACAAGGTCTCACTGAACTTGAAACTTGCTGGCTAGCAAGTCTCCCAGTCCTCCTGTTTCTGCCTTCTGGTGCTGAATTACAGGTATGTGCCACCCTGCCTGGCCTTTTACATGGGTCCTTGGGCCACAAATACTTTTTCCACTGAAAATCTCCTCAGCCCCTGTCAGAACTTCTTATATAAGATTATTGGCTATATTAATTAGTCATTTGATAAATATTTCCTGATACCTCATCCCTTAGGCATTGTGAAGTTTATTGTTTGACTACTATTAAAAATGGTAGTTTAGAATGTGCATTATATAGTAATGTTAAATTTTTTTATCACTTATCTTTCTTTTTGGTAATTATTTCCTTATCTAAATTTCAGATTTCAACTACTTGTATAAATTTTTACATTCAGTTTTAAATTACTGGGACAATAGTAATGATAGCAAGCTAGAGGAGAAAGTGTTTTCTCAATAAGTTTCTTCTTTTTTTTTTAAATATTTATTTATTATATTATGTGTATAGCATTCCTTCCACGTGTGCCTGCAAGCCAGAAGGGGGTTCCAGGTCTCATTATAAATGGCTGTGAGCCACCATGTGGTTGCTGGGAATTGAACTCAGGACCTCTGGAAGAGCAGTCAGTGCTCTTAACCTCTGAGCCATCTCTCCAGCCCCAATAAGTTTCTTAAATGATTTTTCTGACACACCTCAACCCTAGCAAGATGGCTTATCTTTCAGTTTTGGCACACTTTGTTATTTTTTTTAAAAATCTTTATGGAGGGGCAGAAAGGAAGAGCCAGAGGCACAATAGAGGATCTGATGCAAAAGATTTTAGTTGCTAAGAGAGAAGACATTTGAACATCGAATGAAACCCATCACTTTGTGTACTCACTTGAAGAATTAGAAAGCATTTAAAGTATGTCAAATGAATTTCTCATGAAATTTTAGATGACGGTTTTGTCAGTGATAAAATTTATGGTTCATAATTTGTTCTGTACTAAAATCAGGTAATAAAACATGCTTTTAAAAAGAGTTTAATGGGCTCTTAGGGGGTTGGAGGAATGGCTCTGTGGCAAAGCACTTGTCTGTTTGGATTTGATCCCCAGAATCCCTTTAACTCCTCTCCTAATTATAAAAAAAATAAGCTAAGCTGGTAGTGTAAGCAGATTTAAATGTCAGTTCTAAGGAGCCTGAGACTGGAATCAAGGTCTGGAAAACATTAAGAAGATAAAGTAACCAAACTAGTCTTAGAGAGATGTTCTCAGTGAATTGGGTACCCTTTCGCTTTATAGTTTGAACTGTCCTTTATTTCAGTTGCTGATTTTAGAAAATGACATGTTTTGTCTTTCAGGGAAAGGCGGCGACGGAGGAGCAGGAGTTCTTCCAGATCTCCAAGAACATCAAAGACCATAAAGAGAAAGTCTTCTAGGTCTCCGTCTCCCAGGGGGTAGGTGGAAGCATTTGGTGAAACAAAATGTGGGAAAGAATTCCTTCCTTAATCTGCTTTCAAGTTATGTTTTTGAGTGGCTGATCCATTTGTATCCTTAAGAATTGATGTAAGATGTTAGTGTCTAAGACCATCGGCTTCCAGCCATGTGCTCATCCACTCAGTCCATGTAGGGACTGCTCCCCGCCTTTCCAGTTCTGTGTAGTTACAAGATGGAAAAGTGTGAAACAGGTGGGCACTGTACTTTTCTGCCACTCTTAATTGTAAGATATGTCTCCATATGGTGAGAGAATGTCCCCTTTGCTTTTTATGACGTTGGGACTGGTTCTGTGGCAGTCCGGCTGACTTGAGTTCTGTTTTCCTTCTGCCTTCTTCCCATTTGCTGTTTGCTTCAGCTTTTGTCTTTTTTTTTTCTAAAGTTAGGCAAATGGATATTTTCCAACTTTTTATTTCTCCACACAAAGGATAGCATATCCTTGTATGTTTGTGTGCTCAATGACTAGGCCTCATTGGTGTTTACATGTTAGACCAGACTAACTTTGAAACATGTCATGAACTGTCATGTCTGTTTTTGATTTTTGTCTTTTATTTTTTATTGTGTGTGATATACATGGAGGGGCATGCCTGTGCCACAGCATGTGTGTGGAAGTTGAAGGACATCTTTGTGAAATTTGTTCTCTCCTACTTGAATGTGGGTTCCAGAAATCGGACACATGGTTCAGGTCACTGGACTCTAGGTGTTACCCTGAGCCATTTCATCAACCCTTTCATGTGTTTGGAGGTAACTTTTGTATATGGTTAGAGGTAGGTTTTCAGCTTCATTCTTTAGCATATGAATTTCAAGTTTTCCTGGCACCATTGTTGAAAACATCCATTTACCCATCTTGGAAACCATTTGATCTGGTATGCAAGAGTTTATTCTAGGCTTTCCATAGACTCATATGTTTGTCCTTAGCACCATATTGTCAGTTAATGTAGTTTGTAGTCATTTTGAAATGAGGAATTGTGAGTCACCTAACCCTGTTTTTTCTTTTGCTTTAAAAATATTTATATACTCTTTGATTTTATCTGTGTGTGCCTGAGTGTTTGTATGTTCACATATGTGCAGGAACCTGTGAAGGTGGGAAGAGAATGTCAGCTTCCCTGGCACTGGAGGTTGTGAGCCATGTGAGTGGTGGAAACCAAACGGCTCTTCTGAGAGCACCGAGTGCTCTCAACAACTCTGCCGTCTCTCCAGCCTCTACTTTGCTCTTCTTTAAAAGAACATTTTGGCTATATGGAGAGCCTTCAAGATGTCACATGAGTATTAGGACAGGTTTTTCCTGTATCTGCTGCTAATGCTATTAGTGGTTTTTGTAGGAATTGCATTGAGTCTGTATATTGTTTTTGCTGATGTTCTTAATGACATTCAAGTCTTCTGAGTTCTTTCATTACTGTGTTATGGTGGTTAGTATACAAATTGTTTTGGTTTTGTTATTTTTAGTTAAATTGATTGTATTTTCTTAAAATTTTTATTTGTAATCATATGTATGTGCGTGTCTGTGTATTTCTTCATGTGCACACAGTGCCTGCAGAGTCCCGAAGAGGATGGGGAGTTACAGGCAATCGTGAGCTGTCTGACTAGAGTTCTGGGGACTGAACTCCAGTCCTCCTGAAGAACAGTACTTAACTACTGAGCCACCTTTCTAGCCCTTGTATTTTATTGTTTATGTTGTTCCTTTGTGTTGTTCCTTAGATTTTGAAGCCGTATATGAAGACACATGATACACACAAAAATGCTTTCTTTTGAAGACCTAAGGTTTTGCTTTGTAGGTTTTTTTTTTTGCTTTGTTTTGCCTCTAAGGTTTCTTGCAAACAAATTTACAGATTTTTTTTGTTTGTTTTATGTATTTGGAGGTTTAGTTGTGACCAAAACTTCCTCTCACGTAGAATTCATCCAGATTTGCTTCCAGTATATTATCATTTCATTTAAAAATAAGTTGGGTCTCTAAACCCATTTGCTTGATTTCTTTTATGTAGAATGGCATGTGGATCCTACTTTATTACCATGCGAATGACTAGACAGTCTTCACCAAACCTCTTATGATAAAAAATGGTTTTTCCCCAGTGGCTTTAAATGTTACCTTTTTAAAGCTACTAATAGGGAACTGCTCATAGTTCTGTTTTAGAGCTATCTCAGCTAGATCAGGAGTACTTATGTTTCTCAAATAATATGCAGAATTTCCCCTCTATAATCTTAGGGGTTTGTGATTTTGTTTTTCACGTAGTGTGGTGGTCTGTGTGTTTTAGGTTTGTTTTCGAATTGGTGATTCTTGTTTCTAATAGTAGATGAGGTGAGCAAGCAACGTAGTAGGTTACTTGAAATTCGAAGTTTTGCTAGTATCTATTTTTATACATCTGATTCTCTGTCCTTTTATTCTCTGTTAAATTTTTTTTTTTCCTATTTTGTGTGAATGTGTGAGTCAGAAGATAACCTAGGGACAGTTGAGTCTCTCCTATCTTGTAGGTCCCAGGTCTCAAACTCAGGTTATTATGCTTGATGTCAACTAAGCCGTCTCGCAGGTCCCTTTTTATTCCCTCTTGAATGTTCATATATTAAGTTGAGGATGTGCATATGAAAGTGTTATATAATAGTATATTTAGAGAATTATAAAAAGAAAAAAATCTACAGGGTTTAGAGATTCAGTGGAAAGGTTCCCTTACCAGGAAGAAAAGTGTCTGTGTTTAATTCAGATGCAACTTTTCCTCCATATTGTTGATTTGTGGTTGGGTGAATCTAGGGACAAGGAATCATTAGAGTGTAGACTGACTATAGTTTGTTTTTATCTCAACCTTCTTCTAGTAGAGAAAGTGTATCTTGAGCATTTAAAAAGTAGTAGGTTGACAGTACAAGTTGTGTTTTATAGGAACATGTTGGTGGCTGCTGATCAAAGGTGGAAAGAGGTCAGGTTGTAGGCCCGTCTTTGTTACTTTCTCAATCCAGTTTATTATTATGTTATTTACAATGCATTGTTTTGGATAGCCTGTGTTAGATAAAGGACTGTTTTCAAGAGTACAGTGGGTCTTTAAATTCTTGAAAGATAACTCCTATGTTTTCAACATAGCCGAAATAAGAAAGATAAAAAGAGAGAAAAAGAACGGGACCACATCAGTGACAGGAGAGAAAGAGAGCGTTCCACGTCTACAAAAAAGAGTTCTAATGACCGAGATGGGAAGGAGAAGGTGGAGAAGACCAACACACCGGTTAAGGTGAGCTGCTCAGCCAGGGCCCAGGGCACTGCTGCCTTACCTGTAGATTCCATTTCAGAGAGGTGAGGACCTGCTGAAACATAAGCAGCTTAGTCCCTGTGGAGAATCAGTAAGTAATGTACTGTGAGAAAATTGTAGAGAACTTCTGGGTACAAGTGTATTAGATGTTTATGATACTGAGGTTGAATTTGTGTCTGATGCTGTTTTCCTCAGCATATATTTGAGCAAGTTTGATGAGACTTTGTTGTCATTGATTTTGTAATATATAGTTAAGCTTAGATTTGTTCAATTATGTAATATATAATTGAAAACTATATTCCTTTACCAGGACAGAATTGAAAACTAAAACTCTCTAAACTTTTTCTTGGAAATTGAAAGTACTTGCGAATTATGTCAGGTCTCTTTACTGTCTTGTATAATTCTATTTGGAAATACAGGTTCTGGAATTGGCTTTGCTACTGATGGAGGGTTGTCATCATTAGTGACGTTGGCGTTATTTATTAAGCATGTATTCCTTGTTAGGTATTCTTTGTTCTCATGTAATCTTCCTTAGGCCTCGGCAGAATTTGTTCTGCTTTTGAAGGCTTTTCTTAGAGGAACGGTGGCTTCCTTTGTACGTGCTCACACTTATTTCTTGTAGTGTTTTGGAAAGTACTTTGGCTTCTGGGGGATTTTATAAGGCTGTTTGTGAAGAGCTAGAATTTCTGTTTACCTGTTGTATTCTGATTCTGTTACCATGAGTTGCCCATCTTTTGTTGGAAATAACTTATATAAGGAGCAAATTGATACATGTTCTTTCATGGGTTTTTAATGAAAGAAAACAATACAGTTTTATTCACAAGAGAAAATTGAATCATTTAGCCATACATAATTACAGACTATTATTGTGCAAAATAGTGAACATGCACTTGATATTTGTTGTAGAAGGAACACAGTAAAGAGACAGATTCAAGTGTGAGCAAAGATGCTGACGAGAAGGACTCCCCAAGGACTGAGGAAGAAAACAAAGTGCAGCAGAATGGGAATTGCCAACCAAATGAAGAGAACAAAACTGATGTGGCGTAGGACCGCCTGCTGCGTCTCTCCCTCCACGGTGGGATCAAACCCAAAGCGTTCAGTTTGCAGCAAGGTGTACACGGGGAAGAAACCCACATATGGGAACTAGCAGCTCTTCCGGCTATGAGGTGACATTGTGGACATCTTGTTACTGAGCATGGACATCATGGAAATAATCAGATGTTACCCGAGTGCACCATCTTCTGAAGTCTGCATTTCCGTGGTGGCTGGCACACTTGTCATGTGGTTCATTAGTGTTTGCCAAGAAGCATTGCAAATCAATTGAACATCAGAGGTCCAGAGTTGAACTATCCCTTAAGACTGGAGATGAACATTGGAGGCTCCTAAAGAAAATGCTAGTTACTGAATTTTGTATTGTTTTACTTTTTTAAAAAAAATTTTCAATATATACAGTTTGATGATGTGCTTGAAATTTGTGCAAATATATATACACACTCTTGTAAGTAAAGTGCAAAATATGTAAGGAGTTTTAACATTTACTTCACAGGACTTAACAGTGATTGTGGTAAATTCTCACTATTGTGTTTTCTTTTGCTCACTGTTTTGGACGTCAGTTTTTCTTTAAAACAGTTTTACAGATTAAAATTGCTTAAATAAGTGGATTAAAAACCAACTGACAATGCATGCTACTGTTCTCTTTGAGAAGAAGAGCAGCTCTGTCGAATACTAATAACAACGTGTTAGTGTTCGGTGTTTAGAACCATTGGGTCTGCCACAAAATGAGCATTTCTTCTTGAACTTTCTTTACATTTCCAAGCTCATGAATAATACTACAGTGTGACTTGTCAACTGTAGGCGGCAAGATGCCCTTATAAAAAGGAGACTGAGTTTTCAAAATGGGCTATGGAAGCACAAGCTGAAGCTCTAGTGCCTTCTGCAATGTGTGGTGTACTGCTTTCTGGGATTTTATATGTGCTAGTCACGCTCATCTATGGAGTCTAGATGGCTGTATTCTGTTCACAACCATTGGGAAGTGTGCGAGGGCTGTGTCAGAAGCTTTTTAATTCAGTTAAGAGAGAAAAGTCCTGTTTATAAGACTTGTGAAGTTTCAAACAACAGTGTAGTTTTGGGACCACCAGTTTTTCTACTGTGATGATTGAAAAGGAAATACTTCAAATCAGAGGAAACTTATTAGTTGACTTAATTGGATGGCCTTAATATTACCTCGCAATCATTTCTTCTAATGATACAGAAATTATACTTAAAGGAAGGACTAGGAGCATACAGAGGTGGTTTTTGTTCAATGATATGCTTATGCGAGTTTAAGATACATGGTCATCCACCAATCTTAGACTCAACTTTTCATAGATGGTATGGTATGCAAGTAGTAAAATGAAAACTGCTCATGTTTTCTGTAAAACTATAAATTCTAGTTAATGCACTATTCATTGTTACATTTTCAAAAAAAAACACTTCATTTATAAATCTTATTTTAAAATAAATTTTAATTTTATTTAATACAACCTAAACAATCAAATTACTCAGTTGCCTTACCTCATGGGAAGGGTTACTGTCACAGATTTAAAAAGTCAAGTAGCACTTTAGTTGCTTGGTTCCAACTTGAGTCTTGTTTTCATATTAATACTGTTGAAACTATAATTTGAAGAATAGAAAAGCCCTTTCTGCAAGTCATAAAGCCTGGTTCGATTATGAAGCTGCTTAATCATCTTCAGGTGTTCAGATTACTGTGTGTATGTGTGTGTTTTCTTTTCTGTCACTGTGTACATTAAACTTTTGGAAAATGCTTTACTATGTAAAGTATAAATGGCCATTTTGATCATTTAGCCACATACAGTTGGCTAGTAACAGCTTATTCTGATAGAGAAATGCTTGGGCACCTGTGGAAAGATTGTGAAGGAGTGTGTCTCGCTTCAACCGCTGTCTTATTTATGATATGTAAGTAGACTAGAGCAAATGTTTGAATCTTTGCTATTTTTAGGACCATTTCTCTAATAAAGTTGAGTATTTTAGAGGAGTCTTTAGTTTCATCCTGCTCTTGTTTTGCGTGGCACACAGAGGGCTGTGACGTGGCCAGAGCAGCCTTGTGCACTGTCTAAAACAGTCCTTTAAATGAAGTTGAGGCATTTTCCTGTCCTCTGCACTATTCAGACGTTTTCATGGTGGAAAATAACATTATTCTACCACTAATTACTTTTTATGTAGGTATTTATTTTACTCAAGTAATCACTAACGTAGAAGAGGTTTACAAATTCAGAATAAGTAGGGTTACAAGAGAAAGTAAAGTCAGAGGCTGTGGGATTGGTGTGTGTGTGTGAGAGAGAGGCATGCAGGGAGGCAACCACACATGTTCTTTTTTTTTTTTATTATTATTCATTTGCTGTTTTCTATTAAGGTATTTTATTTCTATCAAGAATATTGTCAACCATGTTGTGGCGCACGCCTTTAATCCCAGCACTCTAGAGGCAGATGCAGGTGGGTTGTGTTTGAGGCCAGCCTGGTCAACAGAGTGAGTTCCAGGACAGCCAGGGCTACACAGAAAATCCCTGCCTCAAAAAACAAACAAATATTGTCACTCAAGATACTGTCAGGAAAACCTGAGATAAGAGAAGCTTCTCCCTCTGACAGCAAGTGTGGTGGTTCCTCTTCTCTCTCTGATCAGGATCTGATACTGTGATGTCTTCATGTGCGCACTGACCTGGTGGCTTTACAGGTCGACCGCAACAGGTCCTTAACTTCTGTGACTATTGCCGTAATTGCCGTTTAATCTAGTTAATTTAGGCAGAAAAACACTATTCAGCCAGTAATCTCCCATGTTTAGAATTCTTTTCTGGACAGATTTAGTGTTTTTTTATGTATTTAACCTTATGTTAGAGGATTAAATTTTGGTATACTCAGTTACAAATAAAGACCAATGTTTATAATCGAGATGTTTATATTTTTTTGGCAGAGGGGCAAGAAAAGTTTCTCTTAGGATACTAATTCCTTTGTGTTGCTTTTATTTTCGGATTTTTAAAAAGACTCGACTTTTTATCTACACCTGTCTTAACCTATGAGAATATTTAACTTTAAGGGTTATGGAGCTCACTAGTGGGCTTTAAAATATTTCCCATTTATAGTGCATTACAGATGGAGTATGATTTCCTTTTATGTTAGTTGAGTTAGCAGCTAGCATTAGTCTTTTGGAGGGGTGCGTTGGGTAAGGGCATATCTGGGCGTCATTGGAAAGATGGTTGAACCGAGTGGATTGTGACAGGGAAATGCAGTGACTGTTCATTATATATTTATATGTTTTCCCGCCAAGATGTTTTCTCGTGTTTACTTACTAATAGTCAAATTATTATTATTATTATTTTATTATTATTTTTTTTGGTGGGTGCCTGTCCCAGAACTAGCTCTTGTAGACTAGTCAAATTATTTTTAAATTCCAGGTTTAGTGCTCTTCAAAAGTCTTCATCCTATTTCTGGAAATAGGAGTCTACTATAAATGTAACAAAATAAAACTTGTTTCCTACTTAATTTGTAGGTCAGCTTTTCAGTTCCTTTTGTTTCTTATTGTACAGTTAATGCTGTTTTCACCTGTGGCATGAATGATATATAATTAAAAGATTAGAAAATAAAGCCATTTGTGACTTCTGGTCCACAATCAGATTAGAGTTAGTAATAGATCTTTTTACAAACTAAACTAAGATACTTTTGTAGTTTCTGGAATTGATTGTTTATAGTTGATTCTTTTTTTTTTTTTCCTTCTGGGTGTTGGGGATTAAACCCAGGGCTTCAAAGTACTCTCTTTCTCACTGAACTGCAGCCCAACTTAAAACAATTTTTTAAACAGATTTTTGGTCTTTAGCCCGATACTTAATTGTATAGGCAGCTAACACTTTAACTTGGAAAATTTCCAGTTTGGGAGATAAGACATATAAATTCTAGGATCAAAATGGGGTAGTGGTCTCTGTATTCTTGATTCACCTTTATTTACTGACAGACATTTCTGACTATGTAAGTTTGTTGTGGGAGCTCCTTCCACTCCTTCAGCCAATAGCCACTGAGGTACCAGCCCATTGGGGCATGGTCTCTCTCCCTTTAAAAAAGCAGCCACTTCCCTCCTCTTCTGGCCACTAGGCTCCCTTCCTGATTGTTGTCTGGGACGGTGCCAGAGGTGCCAGAGAGCCAGGGGAGGGAAGTGGCCACTTTTTTAAAGGGAGAGAGACCATGCCCCAAGGGGCTGGTATCTCAGTGGCTATTGGCTGAAGGAGCAGAAGGAGCTCCCACAACACAAGTTCAGATTCATCAAGCTCATACTAAGAAAGTTGTAGTAGTTAAAAATACTCTCTTGGTCTCAAGTAGTTTAATAGAACAGTGCTGTTGGTCATCAGGGGAGAAGTTAATGTAAGCGTAAAGATACTGCCTAGATGTGTCTGTGAGGAGGACTGCTTTTACATGGTACTAGTGAAAGAGTTATCAAAGGTTGCTGCTATCATGTTGCTATATTTTTAATAAAATGAAAATATTGAAGTTCACTGTCGTGTAGTAATTTCATGTTTGGGACAGATATTTGCTGTTCACAGCTTGTTTTTATAACAGAAACGTGATTTTCTCTTCCAGGGTTGAGAAATGACCACCCAGACAGGTTTTCACATACCGGGAACCCTGTCTTATGGTAACTGTAATCGAGGCTTTCCATATCAAGCATTTGGTGGTAGTCTCAGTGATAGCTGCTCGGAGTCTCTCTTGTTCATGGCATCTGCTTCCTGGAGATTTTTATGTCGCAACAGATGCCACCATGTCTTAATAGCAAGTGGAATGCTTTCTCTGATTTTGGGGAAATGCAGTTCTCCATGAGGCCAGTGAATTGTGTGCTGAGGGTGGCCTTGGAAGTGAGATTAACCAGTTAGTCAAAATTGCCTCCTTAATAATAAATTAACTAGACCTGTAAAGATGGTTCAGCAATAAGAGCATGTGCCAACAAGCCCTGAGACCAGAGTCATTCTCTAGTCTTGTGTGCCATGGTGTGTGTGTACAGCAAATGCAGTAGACTGCCAGCCATGTAGATTTAGAATTTAGTGTGACCTTGTGGCTTGACTGGCCCATCCGTGATGAGTGAGGCCCTTGTCTTAGCTGCCCTCTCAGAGGAAACTAGGCCGTTTGGTTTTCCGGTGGGTTATAAGGCATATGCAGGGGCTGGAGAAGCTTTCTGGGCACAGACGTAGGCTGCAGTGTGTGGTTCACCAAGTTGGAGTAGCCACTTCTGACAGACACTGGATCATAAGTATAATTATAGTATTATAATTTGTTTTTATAATAGAACCTTTTTTCTAAAAAAAATATTTATTTATTTATTATGTATACAATATTCTGTCTGTGTATGCCTGCAGGCCAGAAGAGGGCACCAGACCCCATTACAGATGGTTGTGAGCCACCATGTGGTTGCTGGGAATTGAACTCAGGACCTTTGGAAGAATAGGCAATGCTCTTAACTACTGAGCCATCTCTCCAGCCCCCTAGAACCTTTTTTTAAACATTAGGAAAACCAGCCTAACTGCAAATGACTAGCTAGTTCTCTTTAGAGTATGCCCCTGTGTTTAATGTGTTAGTCACAGTGTGCTCAGCTGGAGGTCCTAAGTGGAGTCACATAGGCATGGCCTTTCCTACTTCCTCCCCTAAGCTCCAGTCTCCAGTTATCTGTCAGTGTTACAAGACTGGGTAGCTTACTAGTGACATCCACTGTTCTTTCTACACACTTTATGGTCATAGTCTGTGCCTCGGCTCCTCAGTTCACCAGTACATTGATCTCTGAAGTGACAGGACCCTCATTCACCTTTGCTAAGTCTCAATTCTGGTTTCCTCTGAAAGGCTCTTGTTTGTTGTTTTGAGACTGAGTCTTGTGTAGTCTGTCTGAACTTGAACTCTTGGGCTGTCAGGCCTCACCACTGCCCAGTCCACCCTCCCCCCAAATATCTCAACACGCCCTTTATCAGAAATGATTGTAGATACACGGGATAATTCCTCTGGCAGAAAGGTAATTACAGTATTGAAGTTAAGTCCTTTTCATTTTAATTTATGTCTGTAAAGTCCTAATTGGTCTGACCCCGAGTTATTTCAGTGTATGTTGTTACTTAATTAACCTTTAAAGTGGCCAGGTTTTCTCATTTTGATAAAAGGGTCGTGCTAATCTAATTGCTTAAGTTAAGTGTTCCTTCATCTTTAATTCTGAGAGGATTTGTATTTTATTGTGTAATTCCCCAGTGAAGCTATTTGAGCCTGAAATATTATTTACATTGGTGTGTGTATGTGTGTGTGTGTGTGTGTGTGTGTGTGTGTGTGTGTGTGTGTGTGTGTGTGTGTAGGTTGGAGGACAACTTGAGGGAGTCTGTTCTTTCACTACATGGGTCCTGGGAATTAAACTTAGGTTCCCAGGTGCCTTTATCAGCTGACCCATCTCACAGTGGAGTTTTTTGCCTTTTTTTTTTTTTAACTTAAAATTCAGTATTAACAAGCAGACTTAGGGTTACTTGTGGTATTTTAAAATAAGCTGTTGTGTGATTCTTTTTAAATTTATTAATGTGAAATTGTTCGCATTTTCTTTAAACATGTTAGATTTGTTGTGGGGTCCTCATTGTTAAGCTTTTTATTTGGATCAGTTTAGTAGGACACTTGTCAGTTCTTTTTTTCTCAAGTCACATTGCTTTCATTGTCTTTCTGTAGTTTTGTGTTACAGGGTTAGGTGTTTTGTTACTTTTTATCTTTATTTTCTCCCCCTAAGGTATGAATTGAAGCCCTTGACTTGAGACCTTTGCTATACTGACATTTTAATACCCTGCATCTGCACAAATCTTAATATATGGTTTCTTTGTTGTCATCAATTCAAAACACTCAGAATTTCCATGGGTTTTGTTTTTAACTCATGAGTTATTTAAATCTGTGTTATTTACTGTCAAAATATTTGGAAAATCCCAAAGATCTTTCTTTTCTTTTTTTAAAAAAATCTATCTTAATTCCATTGTAGTTAGGAAACAT